TATACACTTTAGATTAGCATAAAATCAAAATTTAATAAAATCTATTATTGAAAAATTAAACAAAATATCAAAAATTTGAATAATTTAAAATAAAAAAAAATAAATAGATACCTACTATATTTTTCATTTTCGTTATTATTTTGGAAACCAGTTTTAAGCCGCTTTGTTAAAAATGTTGTTATAAATTTATTTATTTCTTGGTAATCGCAAAATAGCAAATCTAACCACTATTTCAACCGAGCAGTAAGAAACTATAGTCATATCTGTATCTGCATTATTTTTTTATATTAGACTTTTTGGAATTAAAAACTTTGACTAATTCTTGTTCGAAACTTATTTGGAAGGTAAAAGTTAAAGAGAAAAGAACAAAAATTTATTTACACATGAAAATAAACAGTGACTAGTTTTTTTGTTTTACTATTTATGCAATAAAAACTCATATAGATCTGATTGTAGTAATAATTTGTATAATAATAAATTATTTAGAATTAAACAATCTGAAGAATTTTGATACACTTTGCAAGCATTTTAATATTTTTAACTCGTTTCTTCATTTATGATATTTTTAAAATAGTAACTGATGTAATTTTTATTAGTTAAAAGCTATTCTAAAATGCACAATTACAAACAGGTACTAAGTGTTTTATTAATCTACTCATTATTATTAATTTGATCAAATTTGTGAAAAATGAATTGTCAAAAATATTCGGAAAATATCGATTTCAAGTCTCCTTTCAGCGTGATTAAATTTCTGGAAACCCGAGTCCTATTTCTCTAATAATCCACCTCAACCCTCTCGCAAATGCCCTCAAAATCAATCAAAACTATCATTAGCTTGCAACAAAATTGTTCCCAACTAAAACATTGTCTTCCATTTCCTGTCGAGCACGTGCCTCCTCATAATTTTCCCTCGAATTAAACAAAAGTTATTAAGTTGATGAAAAGCACAGTCAAATTTCCGGTTTTCCAAACAATCACGTTCACCGTTTTCAAAAATAATTCCGATCGGAATTGATTGAGCGGTCGTCCAACATTGGATAAGAAGCGTTTAAAGAATTAAGTCAAGTCCCACCCTCGACAAATCAAAGTATCGGCGAAAAAACGAGACGAGGAGAGGCTCGACATGGGGGCGACGAGGATGGAGCGAGTCTCGTGGCCGATGGAAGCACATGAGTGGTGTCAGGAGTAATTTAGATGATGAACGTCAGTCAGTTTTACTTCAGAATTTGTTCAAGGAAGACGAAGAGGGCGACGTTTCGGCCCAAAAGTGATAATGGATGAAGAGTGCGGCAGTTCCAAAAATGATAAGATTTGTGTCGGGTCGGTTACGCCCTTTTCGATTAACGATATTTTGAAACACAACAAGTGCAAGGAGGAGGAAATGCAAGAGAAGGCCCTGGATATGTCCAAAGCCAGCAAAACACAAGGCAAGTAAAGAAATCCAACAATCTAGAAAAAATCCAAAAACAAGTTTTTTTGCAAAATTATTTTTATCAAAAAATTCAGTTTGATTGCTTTTGTTTTCTTCTTTTTGGCACTAGAGACGTAATGTGATGTTGATTTTTAAGCAAATCTAGTAAGCGACGCGAAGTGACTCAATAAGAAGCAAAAAAAGTTTTAAATTTTTTTTGATAAGTATAGAAAAAAGTAAGTAAGTTTCAAAAACTGTTATAATTCTTAATAGCGCATTGCTAGAGAAGGATACATTAATACAACGATCATGAGGTAGACAAAGAAGGAAAATAACAGACTTGACGTTAGGAAAAACTTTGTATACCTCACGGGAACAAAGTTTTACTTTGCTCTATTGAAATAATGCTTTGTTTTATGTTAATGTAATATTCAATGTTAAGCAAATCTAGTAAGCGACGCGAAGTGACTCAGTAGAAAGCAAAAAAAGTTTTTAAATTTTTTTTTGATGTGTAAATAAGTAAAAAAATATTCATAAAGTTCCAAAAACTGTTTTAGTTTTTAAATTCTTTTAATTCTTCACTGCAAGAGAAGGATTCATTAATACAACAATCATGGGGTAGACAAAGAAAGGAAATAACAGACTCGACGTTAGGAAAAACTTGTATACCTCACAAGAACAAAGTTTTACTTTGCTTTATTGAAATAATGTTTCGTTTTATACTAAGCGACACAAAGTGATTCAGTAAGAAGCAAAAAAAGTTTTTTAATTTTTCTTTAAAAAAAGTAAAAAAATATTCATAAAGTTTCAAAAACTGTTAAAATTCTTAATAGCGCACTGCTAGAGAAGGATATATTAATACAAGGATTATGAGGTAGACAAAGAAAGGAAATAACAGACTTGACGTTAAGAAAAACTTTGTATACCCTACGGGAACAAAGTTTTATTTCGTTCTATTGAAATAATGCTTAGTTTCATGGTTAATGTAATATTCAATTTTAAGCAAATCTAATAAGTGACGCGAAGTGACTCAGTAAGAAGCAAAAAAATTTAACTTTTTTTTTGATATGTAAAAAAGGAAAAACATTCATAATGTCCCAAAAACTGTTATAATTCTTAATAGCACACTGCTAGAGAAAGATACATTAATACAACGATCATGAGGTAGACAAAGAAAGGAAATAATAGACTAGGAAAAACTTTGTATACCCCACAGGAACCAAGTTTTATTTGCTCTGTTGAAATAATGTTTAGTTTTATAGTTAAAAAAATAAAGAAAGAAAAATAAAGTTAATATCGATTTTTAAGCAAATCTAGTAAACGACGAAAACTGATTTAGTAAGAAGCAAGCAGATTGTTAAAAAAAAATTGATAATATGTAGAATATTAAAAAAAACTAATCATAAAGTCCCCGGAACTGTTATAATTTTATAGTTTTTAATAGCGCACTCCTAGAAAAGGACACATTAATACAATGATTATGAGGTAGACAAAGAAAGGAAACAACAGAGTTGAAACAAAGTTTAATTTACTCTATTGAAATAGTGCTTCGTTTTATGTTTAATGTAATGTTGATTTTTAAGCAAATTTAGTAAGTGACACAAAATAAGACGTAAAAAAGTGTCAAAACTTTATAATATTTAATTTATTTTAAAATGTCAAAAAAAATGTAAAGCTCCAAGAACTGTTATAATTTTTAATGCTAGAGAAGGACGCATTAATACAACGGCCACAGGGCAGACAAAGAGAAAAAATAACAGACTTGACATGTCTCACGGGAGCAAAGTTTCACTGTGCTCTACTAAAATAGTGCTTAGTTTTATGGTCAAATTACATTTTTAACATACAGAATGTCTCAAAAACTGTAAATGCGTGTTTTTGTGGCAATAAAGAAATCGGGATGGCACACTCGTGACACAATAACTGGGCATCATGGTACGTGGTGGTACCCACAGTGGAGCTTTTAGCTTAAAAGCTTTTTGCACTTTGCGTTACTTAATTTCGGTAATTGGTTGGCGAATAGTGGGTTTTTGTGGGATGGGGTGAGATTTATGACATCATTTAAAACACATTACGGTCGAGTTGCGTCAATTTTGTGAAAAACGAAATGATTTTTCCAAGACAAAGAAAGGGGAAATTGGGTGGGTTTTGTGTGTTTTTCTAAGGGAAATAAAATTTTGAATTTATGCGTTGGTGCTTTGGTGTGAAAATATTCAATGGAAAATGATTTCGGATTTTATTTATAGAGGAAATGGGGGCACTTTATTGCGATTGCGACGCGGTTCTACAAATGAGCCAATTTTTAATTGGCATATTAAAAAAGTTATGAGACAATTCTTGACAGAATAATAAACAGAAAAAGAAAGCTTGAAATCGAAAATTCTGAAAAAATTTTGAATTTTTGATCAATTTTTTTATTGTAATAATAAGTTATTTTTCTAATTTTTATTGAAAGTTTTAAGATACGTTGTCAAAAGTTATAGATTATTAATAAAGTGAGACTAGGAAAAGTGACAGTGGCAGTGACATCACTTACTTGCCCTGTTTCTGTTACAATTTTGAATAGTTTTGACGATTTTAGCAATTTGCCCAACGTTTTTGATTTATGTGTTTGACTTATAATTTGGAATTTTACTTGAATTATAATTTTCGAGTCTTGCTTATGCCACATTTTTGATTGTGTTTTTTACAATTTTTTGTACATACTTTGTTTAAACCTTGAATTATTTAGTTTTGGCTATAATTTTCTTAGAAAATTGAATTTTGGGTTGATTTTACTTTTCTACACCTTTTGTTTTTGACACTTATTCACAATTGACAAGATTATTTGTAACTTTGTCAATTAAATAACTAATTTTTTTGCAAGTGAAGTCTACTTATTCTGCCTGCGACATTTGAGATACTTTGTATGTTCTTATTTTGCTGTATGTGTAATTTGTTTTAGAATTTATGAAATTTGTCTAACTATAAATCTTGTTACTATTTTAGTATTTATTAACTGCCTACAGAAAAGTTTAAATATTTAATTTGTTTTTAATTTTCTCTTTGAACTAAAATTCACTAAAATTCTTTTCCAACTACAAAACTACTTCAATATTTCTAGACTGTTTATAGATTAATGTTTTCAGTTTTCAAAACTAAGTTTTTTTACATTTTTCTTCATATGTTTTTAGGCGTTTTATAAAAATTTTTTTCGTCATATTAAAATAATAAACAATAGTTTGAATCACAATTTAAGTATAGCTGAAGAAGGTAAAATGACTTGTAATACCTTATCAATAAGTTTATCTACATAATAAATATATGAATTAAATTATGTATTTTGGAAAAATTTGATGGCACTACAGTGTCACAATTTTACTGTCTGAAAATAGTTATTGACAACGTATATCACGTAACCTTGATCTTCTTATTAGATGTTTTCTTTTCGATTTTAGACATTTTAGACATTTCTAAAACTACTTACAATTCTACTCTCTTTGTGTTAAATAATTTTGTGAACAATTTTCTAAAACAGTCTTTTAACAGTTTCCACTATAAAATTGAACACAATTTTAACATTTCTTGACGAATATTTTCGGGTTATAAAGATGTTTTTTTTTCTATTTGTTATATTTTTCTTTATATTCACGGCGTTTTAAAAAGCAAATTAAAGCAAATTTTTCTTCATTTACCTAACCAAGATAGTAAAAGTTCGTATCACAATCTTAGTAAAGTCCAATAAGCAAAAAGTGCAAGGAATAGTAGGTATGTTGTCAATTTGTATATATTTAAGTATTGATAAAATTATTTCTATTAAACTGAGTTGCAAATAGGTTTAATTTTGTCATTTTTAAGATGTAACTTTATTTTCATATAATTATAGTTGTTGATAACGTGTAGGATATCAAATAACTTTGAGACATTTAAAACTGATCTTATATTTTTCAGTTTTGCCAACTTAATTTAAAAGTCATTAACACTCTTTATGGTAGTTGTACTTAAACTAGATTTTTTTTCTTATATTTAGAAAAAAATAAATTATTGTTTATGATAATAAATAAATTATTGTATGATTATAATAAATTATTGTTTATGAAACGATTTTTATATCTATTTTTGCATAATTTTTGTTCATTTTGAAATTACAAGTTAAAGAAACATACAAAAAAAGTACCAGGCGTTCAATGGTCAAATTGGCTTGTGATTTTGACATTAAGTTGACAACATTTAAAGTAGAAACAATAATAGAAATAAAAATCAACAAGTGCTTATTGTCTTTTGTGTTCAATGTTGCCAATTTTAATAAGAAATTTAATTTAACGCTTGCCGGTCAAGATTTAACATGCGCTTTGTTAAAATTGTGATCAGAACAGATGTTCTTGAGAATACAATAGTAGACGCATTTAACCATCTAATCACTATTTCGACAAAGCGGAATAAAAGTACTGCTCGTGCTTTTTTCCATATCTATTTTTTCTTATTTACTCTTATTTTATTTGTTAAAAAGGCTCAGGATTATAAAAAAATCTTTGTTTGAAACTAACAACAAAAACAACACATGAAAACTATTTGTCTTATTTATCTAATTACTTATCAACTAAGCTACTAAGCCCTTAGGAAGTTTTTCTGTCTTTTGAACTATGTGTACTATAACACCAGTTTATATAAAATGTTTTATTTGCTTCAATTTTTTTTTCGATAATTTATTTAAGGCAAAGCATTTTCCATGTATTAATTTTTTAATAATGCAACAAAAAATGAAATAGATCGTTTTTTTGATGAAAATAGTTGTTTGTTGCAAACTTTGTGTTGTTTCAGAACCTTTGTCCGGAATCGCGACCCTCTCCCCGGACTTCATCCCGGCAAGCCAATCCGAGGAGTCCGGTCGCGACCCCAGCCAACCCGGACGCAAGAAACGCTCACGCGCCGCTTTCACTCACGCGCAAGTCTTCGAATTGGAGCGCCGTTTCAGCCAGCAGCGCTACCTCAGCGGTCCTGAAAGAGCCGACTTGGCCCAAGCCCTGAAACTCACCGAAACCCAAGTGAAGATCTGGTACCAGAATCGGCGCTACAAGACGAAACGGAAACAACTCCAGTTGCAGGAAAGCTCGATGATGAACCAAAACGCCCGGAAAGTGGCGGTCAAAGTGCTGGTCAAGGACGACGTGCCGCTTTTCCTGCAACAGAAAGGGCCGGTGTACCAGAAAGGCGCGTTTTATGCCGAGCCCAAAGCTGATTTTTTCATTTATGATCAGCTGAAAGGGGGGCTGCCGAAGTATCCGAAGAGTTTGCACGAGTCGATGCTGAGTCTGTGTCAGCAGTATTCGAATTCGATGCAGTTGTTTCCGTATTTTAATTATTACCATCCGGCGATTGTGGGCGGGTTGGGGCAGCAGGAGGACGAGGGGGAGGGCAGGGAGCAAAATTGAGGGGGAAAAGTGAAAGGTTGAGGTGTTTTACTTTGTTTAAATGAGGATCAAGTAACTCTGCTGCGAAAAAATTAATTCAATTATTTAGAAAAAAATTGATTAAAATTCTTATAACTTATTCATAAAAACAAAATTTCAATAAATTATTAAAAACTAAATAAAAATGTATAGTCAAACGCAAAAAAATGGACAACACATGGGTTAAGTATTTCTTTGTAACTGAAAATTTTTAACAATGAAACTGTTGCTATGCTTTTACATTTTGATGTTTTTATTCTGGATTTTTGAATGTTTTTACTTTTGAATTCGATTTTTTGTTAATATTTAGGTGTCTTACGGACCTTGATTTTAATTATTTTCAAATTAAAAAAGTATTTGTTAAAGTAGATTTAAAGAAAAAAGTATTTGCAAGTGTCAAGTTGAGATGAGTTGCGCTTTATTAAAATTGTTTGATAGTTATAGTTTTTACAATTACATTGATGTAACAATAAAACTAGTCACTATTTTAATAAAGCGGACTAAAAGATCGCTTCCAGATCCAGACTACCTACAAACTTTTAATTATAAAAAATATTTTCTAGAGAGATTTTAGATGTTTTTATATCCCAATACTATTTTTTTATGTTTTATTTGACGCTTTTGAAATAAAGTCAAAAGAACAAAATATGTGTTCTTAAAAACTATATTTTAACATGAAACTTATTTTTTTTTTGTTAGAATATCAATGACACACATCCCAGTCTTAAATAAAAAATGTTTGCTTTAATTGACCTAAAGTAAAAATTATTTGCTAATCTTGCGTCGATATATGGGCTGCGCTCTATTAAAATTGTGGTCTGATTTTCTTTTAATAGTTTATTACAATTTGTATTTGTGCTACAGTGAAACTAGTCACTATCATTTTGACTTAAAAAATATATATTATATATTTGAAAAAAAATATCTTTTTTTTCTTATTTTTTGTTTTAAAGTTTCATTTGATTTTTAAAATAAAGTAGGCCAAAAGTACAAATTATGTGTTGTCAAAAACCATATTTTAAATAGATCAATTTTTACTAACAAATCATCTCGAAAATCACTATCTCTTGGAGAAATTTTGTTAAAGTGTCGTCAATGACGTAATTTGAATCACATCTAGAATCTAGATACAGTTATTGTCAACGTATACCTCGCTGATAGCTTTGACATTATTTAAAAAAAAATGAAAAAAAGCTTGAATATTAAAACATTGTTACTGTTTTTACATCCAAGCGTAATATAATTAGTGACAAGGTATTTTACTTACTGGTGGCCTTTACTTTAGTATTTTTTTTATAAAAACTCCAAGAAAAAACAAATTTTAAAACAATAGATAACAATTGTCGACTTTTTTATTGTTTTATTTAAATAAATATTACCTACACTGTGGATGAATACAATTTTTGATAATATTAAAAATGTTCAATCATTGACAAAAATAATGTCACAATAGCAAAAAGTTACAATAACATAAAAAAAATTTTTGTTAAAACATCACTACTAGTTTTACAAATTCAGCTATATTTATTATCAAATATGGTTATTGACAACGTATATTTTATAACCTTGACATTTAAAAGTGGGACAATATTTACATATAAGAATAAATGCGACAAATTTTATTTAACCTTGACCCACTTTATCAATTGTATCATTATTTTGGTAACTTTTAAGAAAAAAAAAAACAAAACAAAGGAAAACAATAGGAAACAAAATGTTGATTTAATAAATTTTCCTATTTAACTAAATTTTGTGTTAATTGCATTGCAAAAGAGAACAAAATTTTAAAAATGTATTGTTATTAACAAAATTAATGTTTTATTAGCAAGAAAACACTCTGTATGCATAATGAAAAATTGTTTATTTTTTATTTTTTTTAGTGTCGTACTAGACATTTTTATCAGTGAAGTAACAATTTTTTCAGATTTTGTCATTTTTAATGGCAAAAAGCAACACTCAAATTAGCCGACATTTCTGTTTTGTAATTTTTACTTATACATGTCTGTTTTATTTATTAATTGTACACTAAAAAAACTATAAGAAAAAAATGTTGATTTGTTAATTTTTTTTATTTAACAAAATTTGCATTTCAGAGAACAATTAAATGTAATGTACAGTCATCGACAAAATTATTGTCTAAATACCGAGGAAATACTGTATTGATATTGTAAAACTATTTTGTTTTGTTGGTTTTGGAATAGACATTATTTTTGTCAGTGAAGTAACAACTTTTTAAAATTTTATTATTTTTAATGAAAACAAAAACAAAACAAAAAAAAACAATAAGGAAAAGATTTTGATTTATTAAATTTCTCTATTTAACGAAATTTTATCTATTATTTGCGTTGCAGAAAAGAACACTAAATTAAATAAAATGTACAAAACTAATGATAAATACTATCTGATATTTCAAAACTGTTTTTCTTGGACTAGACATTATTTATGATAAAGAATAAACATAACTAAGAAAAATTTTCATTCGCGTTTGGACAACACAATTGTAGACAAAAAAATTTGTTGATAAAAATTTTTGAGAAATTTTTCAATGGTGTTATTTTTCCTTCTTTATTGTTTTAGTTTCCGCTTATTTATTCAGATCGTTTGAATAAATTTTTTCCCAGCAGAGCTGCCCGGAAACGTCTGCTCAAATCCTCAACTTTCAGTTAAGTAATTGAGGCATCTGAAAACGTGATGGACTTGTGTTTATGTTAAACGACACCGTCTTTCATTGCCGCTAATTTATTAAGAGACTTGGAAAAACATCTTCAACCTTGTCATCGAGATTTTTTACGACAAATCACTTTAGTACATAGAATCGTTTTTCCATCGTTTCGTTGACTGAGCACTGTTAGATTATAAGTCGTTTTTCTTACTTATTAGAGTGCAATAATTCTACTTAACCAAAGTAATAATTAATTTATGTAAATACCTCTGTATCATAGTGTAAATAAATAAGTGAACACTTTGCCGCCTCTTTTAATCAATGATCTTGTCCGTTTATTTTCCTTTTGTGTACCTATCTGAGCCCTAAATATTTATAATAGTTCTCCAGTCAAGTGTTGTGCACATGGTAACACTCATAATTTAAGTGTAAACAATATGAAATTACTGACGTATATACAATTACGGGGGAGATTGAGTTACTTCACCCTCTTCTACCACCCAGGAGTGATTTTTAAAATGCCAAAGCACTGTTTACACGACGTAAAAGGCTATTAGAGCTTCGATCACGATAAACACAAGTCAAAGTCTGAAAGCTCGACTCAAAGAGCGCTTCCTATGCCAATATACACATTTCTCTAATGTGTTTTCGCGATCGCTTTGTTCTATCACATTGAGTTATTTTCACGCTCCTATTTTAAAAGGGGATTAGCATATGAATGTGTGAATAGACGAAATTACGAATGGAAATTTCAATTGACTATTCTTTCGCAATTACGGTGCTCGAAGAACTTGGAAGTTACTTGGCTGAAAAAAGGGATTTTTCAGGAGGAGACAGCGAACTGTAACGGCGGCCGACGCTGAAAGCTTGTGTGGACTTGGGTGCTTGAATAGCAGGGGGCGCTTGATGCTATTCATTGGGATTATAGAAATTGTTTATTTTGTTAATCGGGGGGTGATGAATGTGTTTGTGGAGTCATTAAGGGTAAACAGAAATGCGATATTGATGATCCGGTAATGATTTTACCGGATTTTTCACTTAGTGGTATTGATTCCGGAAAAAAGAAACTAGCAAATTGAAAAACAAAACAAATACAGCCGAAAATAAACATAAAATGAAAAAATCAGGTTTTTTGTGTTTTAAAGTTTACTTTGTATATTCATTTCTTTTGGATGAGATAATAATTTTGGATTAACGAAAGTTAATAATATTTTCCAAAAGAGATTTTACAGTTATTAATTATCCGAACGATTTCATTCTTTTTCTTAAGGTTTTTGGTACATGTAGGAAGGGAATTGATAGTTTCCATTTAAATACTATAATTTTATTATAAAAACTAACTTAAAAAATACATAAAAAAATAAGAATTTAAATTAGCTACATATTAATATCCCTAGAAATATCTTAAACGGATTCATACAAAAAAATTAAAAAAAAAAATCCTTACAATAGCCCAGAAAAAGCTTTTCGAAAAATATATTAAAATTTCCTATCTTAGCAAACGATAAGTTAGGCTTTAAATACAGAGTGTTTCAAAAATTATTTCAAAAAGAATTGTTTAAAAAATGCAATTGAAACGTAAGGAAAACACGAAAAAATTACTAAAAACAAAACTGAATAAAAAAACTTTGAAAATCAAAAGCTTGGTGCTGTGGGCCTATGGATAATAGCGTTTGTGTTTTATCATAATTTTATTATTTTCTTTTCTGTTAGACTTCTTTTAGATGCTTTTTTTTAAGTAACAATTGTTGAAAATGTTGGGAGATGTTGTGCAACACATTTTTGTAAAATTACGGAGTAAATATTTTGATAAATTTTTCGTTTTGATATTGATTTTCTTATTAATAAAGATAAATCAGAACGAGTCAAACCACTCTATACTCTGTTCTCTAAAGAGAGAAATCTAGGTTTTTTGGTCGTTTCTTATTGTGATTATGTTGTTTTCTTACTAATCAAGTTATACAGAAAAAACAAAAAAAAAGTTTAAAGATGCTAAAACAAATATACCTACCTACAGAATGTCGCAGAAATAATTGGAAAATTATATTTAAGATTATTATTATAAAAATTACTATTATGGTCTAGACACTATATATTTTATAAAAAACAAACAAAACTTTAGGTTAGACTAGGAAGAAAAAAATTATAAATTTTCTACAGATCTGCTGATAATTCTTTTTAATTATTTCGACTTGTTTTTACTGGTTCTGAGGTTGTTTCTTCAATTTTAACATACTTTGTATGCACAATCTCTAATAAGAGTAGGTACTTAGTTTATGGAAAAATTTTCATATTTATTTTTTTTTGTTTTAAAGAGCATGTAACAAATTACGAAATTTTCAATAGTTATATCTCAAATCATCGATAATGTCTATTGCACGAAGTGCACAAAAGTATAAAAAAAAATTAAAATTAATTTGGCATACTCGAGGAGTATTTTGCAGATTATTTCCCGAACAAAATTTACAAAAATCATATTTTCGTTAGGAGAAATTAAAAAAAAAATACGTCAAAAAAATTGAATGTCAAATCTTAAATTTCTGAGATTCATCATATCAGATTCGCGGTAATTTACCACACGTGCTGAATTATCGCGTAATTTGAATCTAATTGGATGAATTTCAAAAATTTGATTGGCTTAAATTTTGTAAGGGAAATAGTCTCATTTATTTACTTCAGGTAGAAAAACGAATAAAAGTAAATAAAAAAAGTTTTTATTTCAAAAGTAATTTAATAGTACCTACATGGACAGGATGTACAGTCGCGTGCAATATATTTTGGTCGCCAATGCCAAAAAAATTATTTTTTTACTTCGGAAATTTTGCATTTTATCTTTTATGATTGATTTTTCTGTCTCAAAAAGTCAAAAATATTTTAAACGTTGATTTTTATTATCGCTGAAATTATGACACA